CTGTTCCTGCTCAGTTGCTGTTCAGTACCAGCTTCTCAGAAGCTTTGGAAACCTCCTGGAGTCTGAGCAGTTGCAGTGCAACTTTAACACTTGTGTGTGGTTTTTTGTTTTGTCTTGTTTTCCTCCTTCTTCCTCCTGTGTAGATTAAGACATTCATCCATTCAGGAAAAAATGGTGAACAGATAGGATCCCCTGAAAGCCTGAACGTGGATGGGAACGCTCGTTACATCAGATTTGTTCCAAAGCCTGACTCCTGCTATTTCCTTTTCTATACAGGTGTGAATCTGTTTGTCATTTAAATTCAGAAACTTTAATGAAAAGAGCAATTATAACTGTGAAATTAGTCATTACTAAGCAGTAGTCTGAAAGAATATTTTGCAATTCTCAAAAGTTGTGTTGTGCTTTCAACTAGTGAAAGAGCTTTTCAAGACCAAGAGAAGGGGTGGTTCTACTTAAATTCAGATTTCTTGCACACTTAACTAGTATTAAATAGTAATTTTATATGAAAAAATGTTGAAAATTTAAGTTTTAAATAGTCTTTTAAATCACAAGTGATTATTGTGGAACACTTAAATAAAAAAAATATTCAAAAGGAAACTTGAGTCTCAAAATACAACTACAACTCTATGATATAAGCCTTAAATTACAGTTGCTTTGCCAGCTTCATTTCGGGTGTGGTTGGGAAATTTGTGGAGTACAGTGCAAGGCAAGGTAACTTACCTACTACATTCTTGCTTTCTCTGCATAGCAAACTCTCTCTATGGATACTCCCTGAAAAATCTCTACAGTGCAGCAACTGGGATGGAAATGAAGCTGCCCAACCTCCAGCAAGAAGCTCAGTGGGAGAAAAGTATTGACCACACAACGCACCGCCTGCCCCTGCTCGGGTATGACATTATGTCTTTGGTTTTGGTGGTTTGGAGGGTACTGGTGTTCCTCATGGAATGACTTGCTTTGACTTTGCTCTTTCCTGGCTCTGTTGCTGTTGACCTAAGTGCACATTCAAGCCTCTGCAAGAGTGCTGATGTTGATGCCCTTGTCAGGGCCTCGCAGGAAGCAGGCTGGGGTTTCTTACTTGCATACAAACTACCTTGGACGATATGTCCGGTGTGTGACCACTGCAGAGCCTGATGCTTCACCTCTGAGCAGAGCTTGTCTCTTGTTATCTTGATCTTTGACATTTTACTATGTAGAACAAGCCAGCATCTCCAGCCAAGAAAACCCTGTCATTTCTTTGTTCTTTTTAGCTCTGGGGACATTCATTACCTGGTAAAAATTCCTGGTGGGTCAGGAGAAAACATCTTGATTGTAAAGTCAGAGATGACTATGCTGGTCAATGGAAAAAGTCTTCAGAACTTGTGGACCCTCAACATATCTCGTGTTATAAGGTAATGTTAGCTATTGTAGGAACAATTTGGCATCTTCATTTTCCCAGCAGCATTGTTGTCCTGGATGAAATAATGCTGTAGTGTGCTGTCTCAGTATTGTGTTGAATATAATATATTGTAACACTATGGTATTGTATTGTTTCATCCAAAACATAAAAGCCTGTTCTGTGTTCATATCTGGATCGTGCTTTTTGCATTTCGTGTTGCTTGCTAGCAATTAGCAGGTGCCACTTCAAAATGGAGGAGCCCAAACTTGGAATCATTCTGTTTCCTGCAATATGTCTCTTATGGCTGGGCTAGGATTTGGGAGTGATCCCAGGCTAAACTAACATTATAGCAGTCAAGGTTCTTACTACGGGGGGTGGTGGGAGGATACAGACTGCTCTAAAAGAACAGGGGCCTTTCTCAGGGTGTGTTATGATCTGTCCATTCTCTTTTCTCTTAGTGAGCCGCTGCTTGGTTACTACAAACCTGATGTTCTTGGTATTGTCCTTGAGAGTGACATGGGACCCAACAGGAAGAAGGTTTGCAAGCTCTTCTGTTTAGCTTCCCTTTTCTCTGTCCAGTCCGAACAGGCAGTGAGTTGGGGTGCAGCTGGTAGGATTTGCTGTCTCTCCAGCTGGCTGGAGCAGTGTTTGGCTGGGAAATAATCTTTTTTTCGGCAATTTCTTGGAGACGCTTTAATTCTCTTCTCAGCAAGTTGCTTCAAAGACAGAGCGTTGAACCCTTTGATACAGCCTGAAGAACTTGTGACTTTACTGACATGGCCCATCTCAGGCCTAACACTTCTGTGATGCTCAGCTTCAAGTCTTACTTTGTCTTGTCATGTTGCAGATGCTCCTTCCTGTAGCCGTGTAAGGGAGGCAGCTGTCCTGACCTCCTCCTTTGCTATGAGTTCCTTTTCTTTCTTCCTTTCTAGATTGTGATTGTTGAGGCTGGATCTGGAGCAATCCAGTGGGAGCTGAAGCTGAACTCGAGAGCAGGGAGCCCGGGACCAGCCACACTTTCAACTGCTGATCACCGGTCCACCTTCCTCTTCTGGGGGGAATACCAGCGACCAGGAAATGAAACGGTGAGTGCTGCCGAATGGCTGCTGTGTTACAGACCTTGCTCTAGAGCAGGAGGGATCTGCCCCCTTTTCCTTGTCTCTGGCACTCTGCACAGGGTGTGGGATCTGCACATGCTTCTGACTTAGGAGCAGAATGACCTGTGTGCATGGTCTGGCCATATGGCATCCTCGGGATGTCCTTGGCTGTTGGACATTCCCAGCTTTCTCCTCCTTAACCCAAGTCCATGGAGGACAAGTTGTTACTGGCTCAGTGCATTGCCCCAGAGTCCTGCCCTGGCACAGGGCTGTGGGAAGCTTTGGGTTGTTACCTCTGACATTGCTACTGTTTGGCCCAAAGCCTTCAGTAGCAGCAGCACCGCACGCAGTGGTCCCTCAGTGGGTGTCCTCCCATGGCCTCCTGAACATCTTCTCCGTGCTCCAAGGCAGGATCTGGCAGCTTTGATTGCTCAGCTGCGTGGTGGAGCTTGCTGGGGTGAGGGCAGCGCCTGTGGCAGTTTGTGTCTGTGAGGATGCCTGGGCACCAAGTGAGTTTGCTGTGCTTTCCTTGCCAGCTCAGCCAGCCCTAAGGCAAAATCTGTCTCCTGTGCATAGCAGACAGGCCTGCCGTGTGCGGGAAACAGGGAGGAGAGGGATCAGTACCAGCCAGGAAGCAGGATCCCAGCGCTGGTGCTGATGGTATCAGACAGGATGAGTTTGGCAGGCAGGGATTAGCGTCACTGAATGCAGTTTGGTGGGCAGGAAGCAATAGGTGAGCCTGGTGCTGTTGTCTGAGGTACGTGTGGGCCTGTGTCCTGATAACGTCCTGTTGGTTGCAGGGATCCAAAGCTGCTCTCCAGAAGCTCTATCTCTTCCATCCTTCCTACACTAATGTCCTCTTGGAGCTCCGCAATAGCACAGACCAAATAATTGCTTTTGATGGTAAGTCCTCTCCTTCTGGCCCTTCAGCAAGGAAGTGTTGCTCAACAGTGGCCTTCTGGTATCTCCTGGTACCTCCTGAACTCTGTGGGTGCAGCGTTGGGCCGCGTAGCCAGTCCCAGAATGCAGGGACCTTTGCTTAGGCTGGTGCCATCCGGCATTAACCCTCTGCTCTGTGTTGCAGCCGCGCTGTTTGAGCGGAGCCGTCACGCCTGCTACGTGCTGCTGAGAGGCCCTCAACCCAGCCAGGAACCAGGGCTCGTGTCTCTCATGAAGCGTAAGCTGAAAGAGGATGTCTCTGAGAGCAGGGTGATCTGGCTGAGCCAGGTGGCTGTGGACAGCGAGCAGTACATCCGGGAGCGCCTCTACAGGATGCGATTCCACAGCCGGGAGTGAGCGTGATGGGAGAGCAGGAGAGGCTGCCCCGGCCCAGGGTCCTCCCAGGTGCCTCTCCTGCAGCAGCACTTAGCAAGCCCGGATCATGGTTTCAGATGAGGAGCTGCCTTTCTGGATCCGCAAACCAAAGCGTGGCTGGTAGGAAAGTGCCCCCAGCATCTGGGTACACCCAGACTCTGGGAGCTGCTGCCAGAGCATGTGTCCTGGAAGCTGATGGGACTTCGGTGTTTGGCCACCACTGAAGTGTTGTCAGTTCAGGAAAGAAGGCTCCTCTCAGTCCTTCCGTGCCCACAGAGCCAGGCTGACCCAGCCTGTATCTGGAGGGAAACACTTGCAGGGGATGCCTGAGTTGCTCTTCTTGAGGGCTTGTGTGAGGAGATGTGGGACATTGATGCTCGATGGTAGGTTACCTTCCTAGTCAGCTTCCCTGATGGGTGCCTGGCTGCAGGCTGATTTGCAGTTGCCCTTTGCTGGGTTTGGTAGTAGTGGGGTGTGTGTTGTGAGAGACTCCAGCCATGACTGACAATCCAGCTCGGTGTTACTGAGCCAGCAGGGCATTAAAGTGTTGTTCTACTTAGAAAATGACCTTTTTTTTTTTTTTTTCTTTTTTTCGGAAGAACAGGCCCACGTTCCTCACTCTACTGTCACACAAGCTTACCTGCATCTGACTTCAGTGCTGCTGACTTCATGGTCAGGTTTTGCAGCTTTGGCAACTCAGAGGGAGCTGGAATCCCACCTGATTAATGCATCAGCACCTACCCCTGCCCCAGGTGGTTATAGGTGATGTAAAAGCCCTCATGAGCTTACTCTGTCTTGATCCCATTGATACAGACACTTCCCTGCTGATTTCAACGTGTGGGGGGCTCTAGGATGCTTTTTTTTTTTTTCTTTCCCTTTTTGAAAGTAGAAATGCACTTCAGCTTCACAAACAGAGTGCAGAGCCTGGCAAACAGCTTGAATAGACTGTTTGGTCCTGGAAGCTGCTGTTCACACACCCGCTGCCCTGATCACAACCCCAGCGATCCCAGCCCCTGCTCGTGCGCTTCTAGGTTGTCACGTTGGCTGGCGAGCGGAGAGCAGACGGGAAGCAGTTGGCTCAACCTGATGGAGTTTGCACCCTAAAAAATCCTCTCGGGTTTTGCTGCTGCTGGAGAGGATTTAGTTTAGTGGTGCCTTTCTCCCTTGTGGTATCTGAAATCAGGGCATGTGTAAAAATACTGTAAGATAAGAACCTTGTGTAGGGCTGTGCACGTGCAGGCCCCGGTTCCTCTGCTGTGGCATCTACTGAGTTTTGACCTGCTGGGCAGCTGCTGGCTCCGGTGGCTGTTGCATCCTCGGTCTGTGCGCACATCTGGAAATCCAGCAGCAAACGGAGCTGCAGCATCAGCCGCTGGCCCCTGTGGCTGCAGTGTCAGTGTCTTTCTACACCTCCTGCTTCCAGGTGCTTCGATAGTTGCCTAAATAACGTGTTTGCAGCCTCTGCCTCCCGCAGCCTGTAGCTCTCCGTGCAGGCGGAGGGGTGTCCCGGTGCCGTCGGCCTCCGCGGAGCCGTGAGCGGGCAGAGCGGTGCTGTGGGGTGTCCAGGCTGTGCCAGGAGCAGGAGGAAGCTGCGAAGGGCTCCCTGGAGAGCCCTGTACAAACGCCCTGCATTCCGAGCAGAGGTTTCCCTAAATGTTCCTCTCCCCAGGCTTTCCTTGGAGTGAGTTTGGGGATGGAGGCCGGCATCCCTGCTGCGTCCCCAGCTTAGGGTGCCTGTTTGCTCGGCGTGATGAGGTGCTGAATCCTGGTGGCCCCCTGAGCCCGCGGCAGGACGAGCGGCGCAGCCGGGTGCCGTGGGGCAGCCGGAGGAGACGCTCCCTGCCGGACCCGGCCTGTCCCCCGGCTGCCTGGGGCAGGAGCAGGGCAAGCTCCGGGCTTGCACGTTAACCTGATTTGCTGTTGGATGCAGGTTGTCCCACTGCAGTTCCCAGGACACGGCTCGCCTGGGCTGCACCCGTATCATCATGACACTGTCTCGGCTTCTCCTCAGGTCACTGCCCGGACCTGACCCTTTGTGCTTGGTACCTTGACCCTTCAGGAGAGCTGCATTCTTTGCTTTGCGGGGAGTTTTTCTGGCTTTAAGTTGTTCCTTAATGTGTCTACATAGTTTGGAGACCCAAATCTCTTTTGTGGCAGCTCAATTACAAACATCAGTGCCAAATCAGCACCCTCTTGTAACAAAGCAAGTCCTTTTTCCTACCTAATTCGCTGTGTTATTTTTTTTTCCAGTATTTAATGAATGACAGTGCCTTGATTCAATAATTCGGTTGGGTGATGTTAGCATATATCACTGTGTTATGTACTAGTGTGTTTTTTGACACTAAGACTGTTGGTTTGGTTCTTTAACTTATTGCAAATCCTGCTGTATAGGACTTGGTCTAACCATAATGGTTTCAATAAATCCTCTTTTGCATTGTTTGTAAATGGTGCCCTGCTTTTGCTGTTGCTGCTGACCTACAGCTGAGCAAGGATTTGGGGGGATTTGTGGCAGCCCTTCTCCTTCCCCAAGGCAGAAAACCCCCTTGCTGGAAGGTATCCAAGTATCCTGGTAACTCTTCCCTGCTCCACAGCTCGCCTCTGGTCTGAGGAAAGCGAGTGCTCGCCTCTCCTCTCCATCTGGAAGTGACAGAGATTCGACGTTCCACATCGCCAGAGTGGTGCTCACCACGGCTAAGGCTTCAGCTGGGAAGCTGGGAGGCA